GAAAAAGAGGTTTATCCATGACTCTACTAATAGATCGAATTCACATTTGTGTTAAGCAAAATTTTATTCGTTTTAAATATGATATAACTTCAATTTGATTATTCGATTAATTTCATTATCTTCAATTCAANTGTGTTAAGCAAAATTTTATTCGTTTTGAATATGATATAACTTCAATTTGATTATTCGATTAATTTCATTATCTTCAATTCAAGCTGATCTAAATTTTAGTAAATTATATTAAATTTCTTTTAAATATTTAATTATTTCAATTGAATCCGAATCGAATCGAATATATTTATATTTAAATTTGATTTCATAAAAAATTCAAAATTAAATTTGCATAAGAATTTAAGTTATCACTCGAAACAATCTATAACCAAATTATCATATATTTTTTCTGGTCACACAATTCATGCTGAAGTTTGTCCAAAGCCGCCCCTCGACAAGCAACAATCTTTCTAATTAAAATTTTCCAATTGAGGGGAAACTGACCAGAGTTGCAATGTACAAGAAAACATAACACTTCAGGTCCAATGCCGACCAATTCGTTTTTATTATACAGTTTCGTCTTCAAATCAACATTTTTGTATTTGACAATAACAGATTTTACTATTTTTTAGCACGAATATCAAGAACGCAGCTAATCATAATTAATTACATANCAATGCCGACCAATTCGTTTTTATTATACAGTTTCGTCTTTACTATTTTTTAGCACGAATATCAAGAACGCAGCTAATCATAATTAATTACATATTGTTTGGGTCCAAAATATAAAATGTCAGGAATATTGAACATATTCACATTTGACATTATCAGATTTTTTACTGAAAAAGTGTCACGTGATAATAGAATCTGAATAAAGACGAGAGATAATCAATTGCAGTTACATTCGAAAAGGATGAAGNTCTCAGATTTTTTACTGAAGAAGTGTCACGTGATAATAGAATCTGAATAAAGACGAGAGATAATCAATTGTAGTTACATTCGAAAAGGATGAAGTAAATAATTGAGAGTTATCGTTAGATAATTGTCGATGGAAGCAAAATCATTGATGAAAGCAAAACCATCAAAAGAGATAACTATAAAAAAGGCTTTCAATGAAAGAAACATAACACGTTTAATCCCACAAAAGACCCACGATCAGGGTAGTATNTATCAGATTTTTTACTGAAAAAGTGTCACGTGATAATAGAATCTGAATAAAGACGAGAGATAATCAATTGCAGTTACATTCGAAAAGGATGAAGTAAATAATTGAGAGTTATCGTTAGATAATTGTCGATGGAAGTAAAATCATTGATGAAAGCAAAACCATCAAAAGAGATAACTATAAAAAAGGCTTTTAATGAAAGAAACATAACACGTTTAATCCCACAAAAGACCCACGATCAGGGTAGTATTAGGAGTATTTTTAGGCTAGTTTAAGAGCAAAGTACTGATCAAGGTTGTTTTATTCAGTCTCTTGTACTTGAAGTCTTTTCAATTGAATTAATAAAATAATTCGCTTTTATTAGTTCTTTTGTTTTAATTTCATCTTTGCACAATAAAAATTTTCATTGTTTTTATCTAAAGAAGTCCTGAAACAACGCATTTGACTTCATTTCAAATAATTGCCGAAAATTATCTGTCGAATGGGAGATTTTTATTAATCCCAACAAAATTTGGAGTAACACATATTATAGTAGTTTATATTTTCATTGTGTAGACCGTAGAGTGTTAAACGTATCAAATTTACCCTCACTAGAAGATTATGGTCCAAGAAAAAAAATTAAAATAAAAATTAATATCTTATAGTCATTCTATTTTTTGTGAATTTTTTATATAACTGAGTTATTTATAACTTTTGTGATAATTTGGAATTGACCCCAAAACTATTAAGATTGAACTTAGATTTCAAATTACGACAAAAGTTATAAAATAACTTCAAAAAAATTATTTGAATCTTAAAAATTATAACATAACTTAAAGAAATTATTAATAAACCCAAAAATATGTATCTCAAACTACAAAATTTATAAAACGTAGTCTTCTGCAAACATTAAATATAAAGTGCAATCCATGGTAGGGGAAGCTGATAAGAGTTACTATATACAAAAAGAAACAAATTCCTTGAGGTGAGGTTGATGATGGCGACCATCACTGACGCTTTCTCCTACTTTTGTTGCAACTGGTTCACGGGATCCATTGGCCCCACTCTTGAATCAATCCAACAATGGTACAGATTCAAACTTAAACACTCAATCAAAAATACTGATAAAACACTTATAACTTGGTCAAACGCTTTCTAATTTATCATATTTTTAAAAATATTATTTTATTATCTAAAATATTACATACATCATTTTTAGTTTATATTTAAATATTACTAACAACCTCTATCATTAAAGTACCATTTTTAATAAAAAAATATTATCTAAAATACCAAAATTGTTTTTATATAAATTTCAAACAATCTTTTTACATAAAATTCGAGCCAATTAAAATTATTATTTTTACATATTAAAGTTCAAGCTACTTAATATTTTTTACATTTTAAAGTTTCAAGCCTATTAATTTTTTTTTTCCGCATTAAAATTTGAGTCGATTTGAGCTCAACTTGAGTTGTTAGCGGAGATTAAAATTCAATTCAAGTCGATTATAGTTTATATTTTTTTACTTATTAAAATTCGTGTCAATTAAAATTGATTTATGTTGATTAAAATTCATCTTTTACTTATTAAAATTTGAGTCGATTAAAATTAAATTTTTTTGTGTTAAAATTTAATATGAGTTGATTAAAATTTGATTCAAACTGATTAAAAACAAATTTTATTTGGATCGAATCGAATTTTAGTAGGCCCAAATTTTAATAAGTTAAAAAATTTATAAAATATAAGGGGTTTGATTGAATATATGTCTATTTAGAGAGGTGTCGATAAATTTTTTCTTAAAACATATTATGGACAATTTAATAAAATTGTATTCTAGTTAAGATCTTTAATTTGACAGAAAGTGTTAGTAAAGATTTAAAAACTAAATGAAATGTTTTTGAAGATATGATAAACTAGAAAGATATGTGATTAAAGTTTTTCCAATCGTATATTGTTATCCTTATCAAAAATTTTATCAAGTATTTCATCTCAAGTGACATGATACAATTTTTATCATTGAATTTAATGAGACTTATTTATTTGATGGTCAAAACTATACCATATAACTTGGAATAAGAAATTTGATAAAAAAATCTTGATCATCGTAATGTTATTGGTGTTAGAAATTCAACTGGTTAACTCGTTTATTATTCAAACATTTTAATTTTTTAGTTTTGTGTCTATTTTATATAAAGTTTCTTAGTTGTCCACCCTTGTAGAAAAATAGAACTAAAGTTTACTACCTAGAAACAATTCCAAGTTTGAGTTACCTAGAGTCGTCGACAATGAAAATAGTAAAGTAAAATAAAGTAATAAACTAATAAAAATTTCCCCTTTTTATATTGCAGTAGGAGAATAAAAAAAATTAGAAAAAAAGTCCCATTTTACCTTTGAAAAATACAAGAATTCTCAATTTTATTTCCTGAATGATTAATTTTTTCGCATTACTTTCTTAAAAAAAAAATGTTAAAATATGGTCTACCGTCTTTATTTTAGTTTGGTTGTCGGTCTATTTTGTGATTGTTGATTGATTAATTTGATACAAAACAGACATATAACTAAATAAAAATAAGACGATGAACCACATTACAACATTTTTTTTTAAAACGAGCAATGTAAACAAATTAATTATTTAGAGATAAACTAAAAATTTTTATATCCTTAAAGAGCAAAATGTGATTTACCCTCATTTTTGTACCATATTTTAACCCATATGTAAAGATACAAAAAGGGGAAATTTTGTTTAACTGATGTATTACATTGAATATAACAAATATTATATAAATATTTACATTATATTGAACATTCAAATGATAAACTTGATTTTAAATTGTAGAGTATAACAAGTCTATCAAATAAAGGGTAGTATAAAATTATAATTTTATATAGAGATGAAATTATATTTTTTAACAATTATATTAATAGATATTAACAATAAGGGATTATGTGTTATACGTGTACAAACGTTAGGAAGGTATAAAAATAATAGTTTAAATGTGAGGGAGTCCAAATAATGAGAGAATTTATGTATAATTTATTTATTTAGTTTTAAACGACAAACTAACAGCTGTTAAATTAAAATTCAAATAATTTTTTAAGATGGAATTTATAATTAATTATTTTTTATTTTTTGGCTTGTAATTCGAGAGAGGAAAACACAGGAAGGTTGGTTGGTGGGTTGGTTGGCCGGTAGAACCTCCGCATCTTTCATCTCAACCACCCACTTTCAGCAAAATAATTACTCATCCACATTGATCCGTGACCCACAACACTTGATCGTTAAGATTTTTTTTTTTTTTTTTTTTAAATTTTTTGGGAGCTCTGCAAATTTGACCGCAAAATGATCTGATGGTTCAGATTGTACCATCACAAGGGAAAGTCAAGAGGTTAGTACTGTCTTTATGAACACAGGAGTTTTTCCTAATGAATGAAGGGGTTGAAAATGTGGGTCCCAGTGTGATTAAAGAGAAAGAGGGTAATAGTGTGTAAAGAAACTGAGATTATCTCCTGAGTGCGTAAGGGGTGAGTTTGAGAGCTCTGTTTTCTTTTCTCTGCAACAGGATAAAGATAAAGAAACTAGTAGAGAGAGGGAGAGAATGGCAGTAGACACGTGATGAAAGGCAAATACATACAAGTATCTCAATTATGCTTGAATAAATCTTTCCTCTTCTTCCTCTCCGTTCTCTCTCCTTGGCTGGCCCTCTTTTTGTTTTAACGCAATCATTCATAGAACCATACACCCAGCACCGCCCCCACATCTCTCTTTCATCTTCTCAAAAACTAATTGATTTCACACTCTTCACAGCTGTCACTTTCTCGATCTATATAATATCAGTAACCCCACTACTTCTTCCTCCATTCTCTATGCACTCCAGCTATATGCAGTGGAGTAACACGAAAATGGAGAAATCTAACATATTTAGGCTTGTTATACTAGTTGCTGTGCTTCTGGGTCTCTGCCACGTGTCCGTGGCTGCGGTGACGAAGAAGAGGAATGAACAGAAGAAGACCTACATCGTCCACATTGCGAAATCCGAAATGCCTGCGAGTTTTGACGACCACACTCACTGGTACGAGTCGTCTTTGAAATCGGTCTCTGACTCAGCTGAAATGTTATATACTTACAACAACGTGGTCCATGGATTTTCCACGAGACTCACTGACCAAGAAGCTGAGTCACTCGTGGACCAACCTGGGATTCTCTCTGTATTGCCGGAGATGAAATACGAGCTCCACACCACTCGAACGCCTTCTTTTCTTGGACTCGACAAGAACGCTGATTTATTCCCCGAGTCGAACACGCTGAGTGAAGTCATCGTCGGAGTGTTGGACACTGGTGTTTGGCCGGAAAGCAAAAGCTTCGACGACACAGGATTAGGACCTGTCCCCAGTTCATGGAAAGGCGCGTGTGAAACGGGCACAAAGTTCACTTCATCGAATTGTAACCGGAAATTAATCGGAGCTAGATACTTCTCAAATGGCTATGAAGCAACCTTGGGTCCAATTGACGAATCGAAAGAATCGAAGTCTCCAAGGGACGATGATGGTCATGGAACGCATACTTCCTCGACGGCCGCTGGTTCTGTCGTCGCCGGAGCAAACCTATTTGGCTACGCGCCGGGGTCTGCTCGGGGGATGGCGACGCACGCGAGGGTTGCGGTTTACAAGGTTTGCTGGATCGGAGGTTGCTTCAGCTCAGACATCTTGGCGGCGATGGACAAGGCAATAGACGACAACGTTAATGTTCTCTCCTTGTCCCTCGGCGGAGGGATGTCCGATTACTATCGTGACAGTGTGGCTATCGGAGCTTTCACGGCCATGGAGAAGGGTATTTTGGTGTCCTGCTCAGCTGGAAATGCGGGTCCTAGTCCTTACAGTATGTCCAACGTTGCGCCGTGGATTACAACCGTCGGTGCCGGAACTTTGGACCGTGACTTCCCCGCATTCGCCAGCCTCGGCGACGGAATGAACTACTCAGGTGTGTCGCTTTACCAAGGTGATAAATTACCCAGTAAATTGCTTCCATTTGTTTACGCTGGTAATGCCAGTAATGCGACGAACGGTAATTTATGTATGAAGGGTACTTTGATCCCTGAAAAGGTTAGTGGTAAAATTGTGCTCTGTGACCGTGGTCTAAACCCTAGAGTTGAAAAGGGTGCTGTGGTGAAAGCAGCTGGTGGGGCTGGCATGGTTTTGGCCAACACCGCCGCAAATGGAGAGGAGCTGGTGGCGGACGCCCATTTATTACCAGCTACCACCGTGGGTCAGAAATCCGGCGACGCAATAAAAAAATATTTGTTCTCCGATTCTAATCCGATGGCTACTATTCTTTTTGAGGGCACAAAGGTGGGAATTGAACCTTCGCCGGTGGTGGCGGCGTTTAGCTCAAGAGGGCCAAACTCGATCACGCCGGAGATATTGAAACCAGATATCCTCGCGCCAGGTGTCAACATCATAGCGGGGTGGACAGGGGCCGTGGGGCCCACAGGGTTGCCAGAAGACACGAGACGCGTCCAATTTAACATAATCTCCGGCACGTCGATGTCGTGCCCCCACGTTAGCGGCCTAGCCGCGCTGCTGAAGGCAGCACACCCCGACTGGAGCCCCGCCGCTATACGCTCCGCCTTGATGACAACCGCGTACACAGCCTACAAAAATGGCAAAACAATACAAGACATAGCCACCGGAAAACCATCAACGGCTTACGACTACGGCGCCGGACATGTGGACCCTGTATCAGCCCTCAATCCTGGACTCGTCTATGATTTGGACAGTAATGATTATTTGAGCTTTCTCTGTGCATTGAACTACACTGCTCCACAGATTAAACTTCTGGCAAAGTCGAATTTTACATGCGATTCAAGCAAGAAGTACAGCCTCACTGATATGAATTACCCTTCATTTGCTGTTCCTCTTGAAAGTGCAGTAATGGGCAGTGGCAGCAGCGGTGGTGGAACTAGTACTGTTAAGTACACAAGAACACTTACTAATGTTGGGTCATCAGGAACATACACGGTGGCAGTTAATTCCGACAGTGAGGCGGTGAAGATAGTGGTTGATCCGGAGACCTTGAGCTTCACTGAGACGAATGAGAAGAAGTCTTATACAGTGACTTTCACGGCGAATTCAATGCCGTCGAACACGAATACGTTTGGAAGAATCGTGTGGTCTGACGGGAAGCACACAGTGGGGAGTCCTATTGCCATTAGTTGGACGTAAGTGTTATGATAATCGTATTGTATTCACTCACTCTGAAAGAGTCGGTGTAGGTGTTTTAATTCAATTCTTGTGCTTTTTTCTTCTTTCCACCAAAAAAGAATTGGGAAAGCTGGGTAGTAGTATGTGTTTGATGATGTTCTCTGCGAGAGATAACACAGAAAAAACCTGAAAGATGGTGGTGTTTTCTTGCTCAGTGTACAGTTTTTACAACCCCATGCTTAATGAATTTGGATTATTAAAGATTAACAAGTAAAAATATTTAGCAAATGATTGTGATTTAGTATGGTTCTTCATTTGCTTTAAATGGGTCAGTGTAATTGTGTTTTAGCTTTATGGTAAAATTCAATTCATGTTCTTTGTTTTCCAGCAAAGAATTGGAAGTTGGGTACTAGCCCACTAGTTGTTTGATTGATGATGTTCTTTGAGGTACGAAACAGGGGGAAAAATGCAAGGTGGAGTTTTTTTTTTTCAAAATGTACAGTTGAATTGAGGTTCTTTCCCATATTTTTTTTTATATAATTTTATTTAATGAATATATGCACGTGAGACTCATTATATATGTGAACCCCTCACACATACACGGCCCATGAGTAAAAATTGTGCGAAAAAAATAATATAAAGGATTTAGATCTTGTACAATTTTATAACAAACAATGCTCTTAATTTGTGAGTCTAATTAAGGTTCTAATTTAATTTTGGATTAGTCATGAGTTTTAATAATAAATAGAGTTTACTTTTAATTTAATAGATATATTTAATTAGGTCCCCAAGTTTCATTCAAATAACATTTTCCTTTCACAATAGTTGCTTAATTAATTTGTTTGATAAAATGGTAGGGGTATTAATCAAGTTGAGTTTTGCGAACTTGAATCCGAGTTTGACGGGCTTATTTTTATAAATGAATTTAAAAAATTATTTAAATTCGGCTTGTTAGAATTTGAACCGAGCTCGAGTAACTTGATTATTTTACATATAAACGATTCAAGTTTTTTACGCTCATTTTTCTAAATAAATTTAAAAAATTGTTCAAACTTCAACTAATTTAAAATACGAGTCGAGCTCGAGTTAAATTTTATCTGAACCGAACCCCAATAACACCCTATGAAAGAGTTTTAATTTTTGATTGCTTAATGTGATATCTTTGTGAATGGGATTGAAGGGGAGGCTTGAAGCTGTTTGTTAATCTAATCTAAATCTAGATGAGATACGTATTCAATTATTGAGAAATGCAGGATTGTGCAATATTATTAGTTAGCTCATGCTATTGTGCAATCGTTCTTATTTTGAATGTGAAAAGATGCCATGAGACAAGCACATGGCTATCACACCTTTGCATGTTATCCTAGACAACGATTGTTTTTTTTTTTTTTTTAACGGTATTAGGTATTTGAGGTATTAAAATATTCATGAGAAATAAATTTATGATGGCCTGACTTCAAAAAATTATTAAAATTTAAACTCAATATATCTAAATTTAAAACTTATCTTTATTATCACTCAAACTATCTCTCCTTAGGGTTTATATGCTATAGGACCCCTCCCACTCTTCCTCTTCCTCTTCCTCTCCCTCTCCCCCCTCCACCTCACCCTCACCCTCACCCCATCATATTCAGAAATCAAAAAAATTATGTTTGAAAAGAGAATTAGATGACAGAAAAAAAAACAAATTAATTGTAAGTAAATGGAAATCTGATCTTTTAAATGGTGCAAGGAATTTTGATTCGAGAAAATAAATTTTTTTTTTTTAATTTAACAAGTCACGGGTCTTGGATCTAATGCAAGTGGTCAAATCTTGATTACAAAAGCCATCGAATCTGTGTGTAAGGACATGGGTCCTTATATTTCTAGAAATCCTAATCCATTGAACTTTTCCAAATAAAAACCGACTGGACATAGTTCCAGCCGGCTTTTCCTCCAGACCTGACAACTCATTCATAAGATTGATATGCACGTACGTGACTCATGGCAAAACTATAGGACTACCAGAGAAATGTCACATATTAAGCAAGAACCAAAGATTACTAAGAAAACCCAAATCTCAAAACCAGAAAGAGAGAGATGGAGAAAAGTGCAGAGCAGATGGGTAGGAAAACAGAGGATGAGAGGAAACTAGAAGGGCTACCAGTGGAGAGTAGCCCTTACACGCAGTATAAGGACTTGGAGGATTACAAGAGACAGGGCTATGGCACGGAGGGCCACCTCCAACCCCAGCCTGGCCGTGGCGCCTCTAGCTCCACCGACGCCCCCACCCTTTCTGGTGGCACTGCCTCTTGCCAAGCTCAGATTTCCACCACTAATGCTAACCCAAGTCCAGGAGGCCTTTAATTTCACACTACTATATGTCGTATCATGTTTTTCTGAGCTCTTTTTGTATGGTTTTCTGTTTTTCTTTTCATTAAAATTTTTCAGTATGTATGGATTCATGCTTGATGAATCTTAAACTTCAATGCGAGGTGCTTTGTCTGTACTAGAAACTATCCAATTTCAATCAAATAACGATGTGAGAGGTTTAAATTTTTGAATACTAACGTTTTATCCTATATAATGGTCCACTTCTAGTGCTGTCAACTTTGTAAAAAAAAACCCAAAGGGTTAATTAGCTCAAGTGGTAGTCGGTTACTTAATAGATACCTTAAGTTGATATTAGTCAATGATTTGATACTCTACAAGATGAAAATGCTTATTAGGATCACCTCCCATAGATTTAATCCTTGCGTGTGAACCCAAGTTAACTACTGGTCACGGGTCTAAATACACTCAATTTGGTGGTGGATTTCTCAAAAAAAACAAAAAAACGTCTGTTATCTTTTTTATTTATATTTTCGATTCAAATCACATACTTTATCGTGATATGTGTTTTTCTTTTTTCTTCTACAGTGGTTTATGACGTATTGAGATCAAATTTTAAATGAAAATAAAACAGAAATGTCATTCCACAACATTGCTCCATCTGGATCATTGACAGTAAGTGTAGCCAAGCCAGTTAACTGGATCAGATCTTCCAGGGTCATGATCTTTTTTTGTTTTATTGTTCCAAGTCTTTATATAATATACAAAACCATACAGAAACGAAAAGGGTAGGATTTGTTGGTCGGTATCAACAACAAAGAAGAGAGGAAAAACTTATATGTAAGTGACCAATTGGCTATTGAGGTCACCTCACTTTGGTTTATCTAATCAATGTGATTCATGGACTGATTCGAGTATTAGTTGATAACGTTGGAAGGGGTCCAATGGAAGTCCTCGATCTGTAAAAGGAAAAGATAAAAGATTGTGTTTAGGCCAGTTTGGCTTTATGTAATGATTGCAAAAGTTGTCACGTCTCCTTTAATAATGTTTAAGGTTGACCTCTCTTCTTAGCTTTTGGGCGGTGCTCCATAGAGAGTTTGAAATTATATTTTGTAATTTGATTAGATTTGGAGATTAGAAGAAGTGATAATAGAGATGTATCGTAAATTTAGATGTTTTGAGTATGAATTTTGATAATTTTTTAAAGTTTTTTTATGAGGAATTTGTCTCTCATGAGTATACGAAGTACTTGTCTTTAACTGGATCAGGGAGAGGATTAGTGCATCAATTGATTCAGACATTCCTGACCCAAACAAAAAATTAGACTTGGATCAATAGATTGATACATTCATGAAAGTTCAAGGTTTAGATTTGTAGAAAGAAAAAAAAAACTTACATTAAAAGGGTATTTCAAGTGGAGGAGCATATTTGAGGGGTATTCATGAAATTCAGCCAATATTATAGGTATACACATGCCCATTTGATAAAAAAAATATTAATAACAATTATATGATTACTAATATAAACAGTTGGCTTAAACCCGCACAGAAAGCTTAGTTGTGTGGGGTTAGTCTATCTCTTAGGTTGAATAACGGGTGATTGCAAATTTCTGATTTTAATCTATAATCATTACGAGGAAAAAAATATAGCTCGTTAAACAAATTATTTTCGGATAAAACCTCCATTATGATTTTTTAGAAGTTTCCATGGCAAACCACCATGTGAAAATCATAGGAAAAGAATGAAGTAAATGTTGCATGCAGGTTTTGCTTCCAAATATCCATGTGAAATAACATTCTCCTACCCATGTCACCATGTGGATTGATTTGGCAAACACATGTCTAAGCCAGTATTTGTCCCGTTTGTATATCTGAACTCCCTAATGCAGCAAGCAACCCATGTCTCTCGTTAATGAGGGTAGGTAGTTTGTGTTGGTAGTTTGGGTATGAAGGGTAGACAAAAAATTACAAAATAAATGCTTTGTCGTATCTAAACACACTTTCTTTAGAGCATACATTATATCCCCACTCATAAGAGTTTGCTAATATATTACAAGCAAACAAAATAGAGTGAAGAATTGCAATTATTAATATTCAAGAATTTTCAAAAAACTTTCCTTGAACAATTTTGATTGTGTGTGTGCATGTGTGTCACAAATATATATATATATATATATATATATACACAGAGAGAGAGAGAGAGAGAGAGATTGAAATATATAGAACTCCGGTGTATGTTGTAAATGAAGTCTAGTGTCTTATTTATAAATTTCTTGATGATTTTTTTCATACATCACAACCCTCTAAATAAGTGCATTTCTTAAAAGTCATGACACTTCTAAAGATGTGTCTTTTATTAATAGTTACGACCTTTCTAAGTAGATGTTTTTCTTAATGGTAATTTCTCTTCAAATAATAGTAGTTTTTTCCTAATAATCACAACTATTCAAATAATAGGTTTTTTTGACCTTTTCTAATAGTCACAACAATTCAAAATAATTCAATTATTCAATCAGACTATAAATAAAGTGTCAACAATCCCCTACCTACTTTGATCATATAATAGAGAACATCTCTCAATCAGGTTATATCATTTTCAAATACAAGAAGGTGTTTTTTTAACTTAAACCTTCAATTAATATTAGAACATCAAAGTTTAATCAAAGTCATTGGTTACCTTATCATTAAGCCAAGTACTCTATCGAACAAAAT